CCCCAAAACCCCAAAACCCCAAAACCCCAAAACCCCATTGTTTTATGACAAAATGGAATACAAAATTAATTATTTTTAGGAAGATAAATATTCTTTTGAACCAAAAGTCAATCTGTTAGGGTTTTCTTAGTATCTAGAATTGCCTCTCCACCTTCCTCTACATTAATATTTGAGAGATAAAGTTTTCCTGTAGAAGATAAGACAATTAAAGAGCCTTCACTAGGCATCATAGCAATCTTGTAAAGCTCAGGAGTACGGAATTTGCAGTAACTTCCAATTTTTCCTAAGTATGGGATCAGAGGTCCAAGAAATGAGAATACAGAAATATCATTGACAGGCTGTCCCTCTTGCCCTTCTTGAGTAATATCATTCATGAAGATATGAATCGTCCCTGCTTCGGAACTTATTAAAAGTCTGGTGTCGTCTAATTGAAAACTGATGAAATTTATAGTAGATGGAGCTGATCCTCTGGTATAATCTCTAAGCTTAGTTCCATCCTTAGTGTCATAGAGATGAACAGTTCATCCTTCAGAAGTAGCTCATGCGAGAATGCTCCCGACTGAGTTAAGCTCTAAAGCTGTGATGTAATATTCCTCATCTGAATTTCCTTCAATCATTGCTTGCAACTCTTCTTTTGCATAATCATATACGATGAGGGTGCCAGGCTCCTCTCCAAGGTATGCAGCAGTTGTAAATCCTTCAAGAGGCGAAATAGCAATAACTCCATACGGATTAGTGGCAGTTTCAAAAGTTTTATACTTATCTGACAGAGGAAGGTTATGAAAGACTGTCTTCTCAGAAAGAACTACTGCTAACACATTACTCTTAATCTTAATAGAATTAATCTTCGATTCAGCTACGACTTTTCATAGCTCTTCATCATTGTGATTATCCCAGAGTCTGAATTCATTCTCAGGGACGGCTGGTAGATTACCGCCACCGACGAACCATATGATTTTATCTTGATTGTAAAACCCAATATGTCTGATTCCTCCACCCATATCCTTATCCTTAATAAGCTTTATAGGGTTCAGAGTGTAAATCTTGTAGCCGTTTGGAGTTCCGAGTGCTATAAAAGAATTTGAGAGCGCAATTGAGAGCACCTCATGCTCTTTCTGATCGAAAAATCCCTTCTCTTCTTCTTTCTCCATTATTCTATTCTCAATATTATTACTAGATTTAGGGGTTTTGGGGTTTTGGGGTTTTGGGGTTTTGGGG